CGGCGTTTCGAAATCTTCCCACTCTGAAGGCTGAATAAAAAAAAGATTGTTTACAGACCCCCGAAACGCCGGCTTCGTATGGATGAGAGGCTGGTTTGGTGAAAAATTTGTGCGTTTAGGCCAGGGTTCGTCTTCGTGTGGACGGGGCCTTAGAGTCTTCCAGCTGCTGGGAGGAAGGATCTGTGATAACGCTCCCTGGTGGATTTAAGGTGCAGCAGTCTGCCACTGAAGGAGCTCTCCAGTTCAGCACCAGCTTCATGCATGGGGTGGGAGACATTATCCAACAGAGATGTTCATTTAGTTAGAATCCATCTGTTTCCTATCTACTGCACTGAGTCCAGAGGGCATCCAATCACAGCTGTTCTTCCTGATCAGCTGATCCAGCCGCTTCCTCTCAGCTCCAGATAAGCCACTGCTCCAACAGACAGCTCTATAGAAGATGGCTGATGCCACATCAGTCATAGGAGGTCTTCAGGAGCGCTCCTAAAGACCTCAGTCTCCTCAGCAGGAAGATTCTGCTCTGACCTTCCTGATCCAGAGCCTCAGTGCTGGGAGTTCAGTCCAGGTTGTTGTTAATGTTTTCTGGTATTGTGTAACTAACCCAGGAACTGAGGAACCGTTCATTTTAATGTTGGAGGCCAAACAAAGCTCTGACTGGTCAGGACGGTTCGTACTCCCCCTGGTAAAGGTTTTGTGGAGTTTTTTAAAAGACACAAACTCTCCGCTTTCAAAAAAAAAAGGGCGTGCAAAAGCTCATTTATCGTGCACGCTCTGTTTAAAAGTTGCGGTTCTCATAGTTCCTACAAGCTTATTGTGTCTGACCATCTGCCCTAACCCCTAAATCCCTGATGATCACTGCTGTTTGCTCCGTTGGTCACATAACGAAGGCACACCGCGCGGTGCCTGCGCCATCTTTGTTATTAGCTGCTGCTGTCGGACAGCAAATCCCATAATGCTTTGCGAGGAGAGCTCTCCATGCAAAGCATTCTTAGATATATCTGCCTCTTCTGATACACTTTGTAGACACTTTCTCTTACGACCCTCGGCTATTTTCAAAGAACCGCGGTGAGAAAGGTGAGCTTCAATGACTCTGAAATCGTAGCTCACCACAGATACACGCCTGAAAGAGCGCAGAAAAAGATGGCTAACGAGAAGAGCGCGTAGGAGGGCCTTACGTAAACATAGCGCCAGAATGATTGACAGTTAGGAGGACCACTTATTTAGCTGATCCACCCGGAAATAAAAAATCACCCTCTACACCTTTAAGGTTTTGTAGTTTTGGACGTGTGGATATGATGGTTTTGAAGTTTTCCTCAGAGGGTTGAGGTTCTTGGAGAGGGAACAGTTTTAAGGACTGTTGTTAGACTTCAGTCCCAGTAAGATGTTCCCTCTCTTAACAAACTGCCAGTAGAGTAAAACCGTCCAGGTTAACAGGAGCAGATATCAGAGGGAGCAAACAGAAACATGATCATTAGTCACATTTAAACTGAAGTTACATCGGTACTTACTGAGGTCAGCAGTGATACCCGCAGTCAGACCGATTCACAATTTGATCACCAATGAATTTTAAAAAAGAAACTACTTTCCCACTAAAACATGCTGTACAACTTTTCT